AGATGGGGACATTGAAACTCAGAGAGGTGAAGAAACTTGCCGGGGGCCACACAGCTGGAAAGTGCCAGAACTGGGATTCAACCCCACACCTTCCAAATGCAAAGGTCAGGCTCGGTTCCCAGCCACTTGGCAATACTGCTTCCCCGCGGGCCCTCACCAAAGCTCCTCGCATACACTGTGAGTTTTCTCATCTTGCCGTGCCCTCCCAGCCACCTGCAAGGACCACACGACCAGTTCAAGCAACCTGCCCCCGCGTGCGCTGCCGTAAGAAGGTGGCCAAGACGGCTTGCCACGTGAAAAGGGGAAGTTAACATTTTATGATCCTGTCTGTGCTTTTAATAAAAAATGATGGATGGATAGAAAAATAGATGCATAGTTCACATATTCATAGACTGTCACTAGAAGGACACAAGAAAATATTAAGAGAAGAAAATATTAGAAAAATATTAGAAATGGGAAAAAGGAGTTGGTTGGGGACAGGGGAAGGTCAAAGAATATTTACTTTCTGTTTTAAGTCCTTCTTTACTCTTTTAAGGTTTTATTTTCCTTTGGTCATATATATGCTGCAACCCATCCTCCAAGGTCCAAGTCATATGCCTCCTCCCCTGTGAAGCCTGCCCTGATCGTCCCAGCTTGTCCCTCCTCTCAATCCCTACCATATTCTGCCTGCATCTCTCAGGTACACAGGTCACTGAGCCTCTGTCCTCCAGTGCATCCAGATAGGGAGCCCCCAGCCAGGCAGGAGCCCCAGGGCCTGAGTCAGTGTCTTGGGCCTCCACAGTCTCCCCCACACTGAGCCGGAGCCTCTGCTGAGGCAGGGGGATGGAGAGCCTCAGGGAATGAATAACTATTTCATTTTCTATCTTGGTCCATGGCGTCCCAAAGCCAATGAAGTTGGAAACTCAAAAATGGAACTTGGGGGCAGGGAGGCGAAGAGGAAAGCAGAGAATCGGGGAGGGTAAATTCAGCTCCTGGAAACCTGCCCAGAGCTCATCCCTGGGAAATGACTCAAGCACCGCTTATGCCAGCAGACGGTCCATTTGGGCCCTGAGGTCACCAAATCTCGTCATGGTCCTACTTATTAAATATAGAGGTGCGTGAAATAAAGCCACCACGTCTGGTGCCGGGGCTCTGAGGAAGGGACAGAGAGACAAAGATGAGAGGCAGGGAGTCTGTCCCCTGTCAACCAGTTCTGACTGCTCACCTAGGAAGCCCTGGGCACTAGCTGAGACTGGACCCATATGTCAGACGTAGCTCCCGGCCTTGGCGACGATCCCATCTTGCCTCTTCGGCAGCAAGGGGGCCCTGCCCTCCTCCGTACCCAGCCCCTGCCTGAGGACCTCTGAGAACACACTTTTGGACATCTCATTGATACTGTCCAACAGCCAAGTAAAGGCAGACAGACACACTGGCCAGCCCATTTTACAGATGAGGAAACGGAGTCCTAGGTAAGTAAGGTGCTTGAGATCACACAGCTAAGTTAGTGATACTGAAACTGGACCAAGGTTGCAGTGAGGGGAAAAGTGGGAACTCAAACTCCATTAGCTGGAGCTCTGTGACTACAAGCAGGCCACCCGATGGCCCAAGGCCTCACTTTTCTCCTTTGTTCAGTGAGCTAGGCGGCTCCCCACATGCAGCATGAAAGTCTACTGAGCTGGGGCCACAATGCCTCTCTGTCTCTGAACACACACCCACCGGGGATGCAGTGGTGGGCTGAGAAATAGTTAAATGCACAGGACAGGCGTGGGCCTCTTCTCGGACCTCCACCCCCTCCCCCGCCCCCACCCTCCAAGATCTGGCACAATGGAAAGCTAAATCATTTCACTGGCAAGGAAAACTTTCTTCTATTCCTAAAACCCAAAGGTATACTATGTACTGGAATGCAAAAGCTGTATTAATCTTTTCAGATAAAATACGAATGGTTTTTGTGCTGTGGAATCTGTTTAAATCAGTCATCAATTGAACTGACAGGACTACTTTGGAGGCAGCAACGGGTCTGTGAAGAACACTGACTTTGGAATCAGAAAGGTCTGCTTTCATTTCAGCTCACTCACTCAACCAGCTGTGTGACCCTGCCCAAGATACTCACCCTCTCTGAGACTAGCTTCTTTATCTATAAAATGAGAATAATAAGATCATGCTTGTAAAGCAGGAGTCAATCTCTTTTGAGTCATCGGGTCCCACTGGCAATCTGGTGAGGCCTATAAACTTCTCAGAATGTTTATGGATGCATAAAGTAAGTACAATGTTTTAAAAATGCATAAAGTTGGGGCGCCTGGGTGGCTCAGTCATTAAGTGACTGCCTTCAGCTTGGGTCATGATTCCAGGGTTCTGGGATCGAGCCCCACATTGGGCTCCCTGCTCAGCGGGAAGCCTGCTTCTCCCTCTCCCACTCCCCCCCTGCTTGTGTTCCTGCTCTCTCTCTCTTTCTGTATGTCAAATAAATAAATCTTTAAAAAAAATAAAAATAGGGCGCCTGGGTGGCTCAGTTGGTTAAGCGACTGCCTTCGGCTCAGGTCATGATCCTGGAGTCCCGGGATCGAGTCCCGCATCGGGCTCCCTGCTCGGCAGGGAGTCTGCTTCTCCCTCCGACCCTCTTCCCTCTCGTGCTCTCTTGTCTCTCATTCTCTCTCTCTCTCTCAAATAAATAAATAAATAAAATCTTTAAAAAAAAATAAAATAAAAAATAAAAACAAAAAAATGCATAAAGTAAAACAGCATTATAAAGGAAAGCAATAATATCAAAACACATTTATAAAATATTAAGAAGAATAAATCTGTTACGGTAATAGAACATGCTTCCTTATTACAATGCTAAATCATAAGCTCTAGTGGCAAGTATAATAATTACCTGTAATTTCTCCCTTTCTCTCTCTCTTTTTTTTTTTTCAAGAGAGGGAGGCGGGAAGGGTAGAAGGAAAGAGAGAATCCCAAGCAGGCTCCATACCCAGAGTGGAGCTTGATGCCAGGACTCAATCCCACAACCCTGAGAGCATGACTCGAGCTGAAATCAAGAGTCAGACACTCAACTGACTGAGCCGCCCAGGTGCTCCTATAATTACCCATAATTTCAAACTGCAATGAGCATAAATATTTCCAGATAACTGAAATAACTGTAATGTGATATGTAAGTATCCGTGATTTCCACTGGTGATAAAAATCACAGGTCCCACTAATATTTTCACAGTTTGTCATCTATGTTCATAATGAATGGAAATTCTAAATTTCATTTAGAGGTTAGCAAAAAAAAAAAAATTCACTTAGAGGTTAGAGATAATTTTTTTTCCTACCCAAATTCACAGACCCCTCCCCCCCCCAAATTCTAACCCCTGGGGTTGGTGGACATGAAGGTTAAGAAGCTCAGTTATAAAACATTTCACACAGTGCCTGGCTGGCTCAAGCTGTCTCGGGCTCCGCCCCCACATACAACAGGGCCCAAGGCTCCAGGCGCATGCCGTCAGGAGAGGAGTCAGGAGTCCTTTCGGGGAGTGGCTGGAGCAGCCCTGAGTCCATGAAGGGCCCAGGGGAGGGATGTGGGTCATGCAAGGGCTATCAAGTGAGTACAGGAGGTCCTTAAAGCTAATCCAGAAGCTTAGGGCTGGAAGAGGGTTAAGCCCCAGCTAGATGTGCACTTGGGCTATCTCAGCTCAAAACAAAGTGGTTCCTTTCCTACATTAGCTGTGTCCTCGGCTACTCTGGCAAAGGAGCCCTTTCAAATCTTGTCCCTTGACATCTCCCCTTGGTTGGTTTATTGGCACCTCAAACTATTGGCACCTGAACTTCATGTTCAAATGGAGTTCTATTTCCACCCAAGCCAGTTTCTCCTTCAAGTCTTCATGTCAGGAAGTGGCAAAAACCCTCACCCAACCGCTCAGGAGCAACACTTGGCACACCTCTCTCTTCCTCACACTCAATCCATAGGCCGCCAGTCCTGTCCACTCTCTCTCCACCTCTGCTGTCACTATACTAGCCCATGCTACCAACATCTCTTACCTAGACTCATACAGGGCGGCCTAGCAGGTCTCCCACTTCCATACTTACCCATCCCATCCCAAATTGGTGTCTCCCATAGTAACCAAAATCATCTTCAGGAAATGTAAATCAGACTATGTTGCCCCATTCCCTACTCAAAACTCTCCAAAGACTCTCCTATTGCACTTAGGATGGAATTCAAACACCCATGGCTGATAAGGCCCTCGCCTACGTTGCCAGCATCCTCTCTGGCCGCTTTCTGACTCACTCACCATGCCCCCCACATCTTGGCATTCTTCTGTACCTTAGAACTCAAAAGTTGGTCACTGCCCCAGGGCCTTTGCACAAGCCATTTTTGCACGGCTGGCTCCTTCCTGACGCTGAGACCAGATGTCACCTCATCAAAGAAGCCTTCTCTGACCACTCACTCTATAAAGTACTCTTCCCCCACTTTGGCACACTGTCCATAACATGGCTCTGTCTTCTTTCCCTCATGATCCACATCACTGTCTGAAATGATCTTGTCCGATCTTTTCATGTGTTTGTTGTCTGTCCACCCTCACTACAATGGAAGTTCCTGATTGCTAGAAACTAGTCTGGCTCGTTTCCCACTATATCTTGGCGCACAGTAGGCACTCTTCAGATTTTACTAATTGAGCTTATTTTGTGCAGGAAAATGGGCTGAGCTGACACACATTCTGTCATTTAATCCTCACAGCTGCTATTATTTCTATTTTCCAGGAGGAAGCTGAGGAGGCCCAGTGAGGTTCCCTAGCTGGCTGAGGGCCGTCCAACTCTGAAGCCAGGTTCTCAATCACTGTGTTATACTGCTCAAAAAAAAAAAAAAAAAAAAAAGACTTCTTCCTTCTCCTGTATCCCTTCTAAAAATCATCCCCAAACAGAAGACAAGGGAAGGATGATTGTGCAGAAAAATGCAGAGGGGTGGGGCTGAAGGGATGGTATCCCAGGCCTCATGATGCTGGGACCTCCTCCCACTCAGAAGCCGTGCCCCTCCTGAACCACTCCGCCCGGGGGAGCTGGCTGGCAGGACGTGGGACTCACATTTGCCTGCGTGCCCTGGAAACTCCCCACAGCTCCTTTCTCCTCAACTGCCTTTTCCGGGCCTCTAATCTCCCGATCAGGTTTCCAGAGCTGTGGAGTGTCCTCTGCTTGGAAACTCCCTAGTCAACAATGGGAAAGTGGGGACACCTGCCTGTGAGGCTGGAAAGCTGGAATTAGAACCACAGAACCCCAGGTAGGAAAAGACCTTGACAGCCATTAGTCCAACCCCCTCCTATGCCTTAACCAAACAAGAGCTGCAGGTACCTCATGGGGGAGGTTCCCTTCTTATCCCCATTTTACAGATGAGAAGAGTGGAGGCCCAGAGAGGTTTGCTGACTTCCCTTGGAGACACCCAGCTAAGCAAGTCATTGAGCTGGGATGGGAACCCAGAAACCTGAACCCCTAAGCCATGCTATCTCACCTCTCTGCTAGAATAAGAACAAAGCCCTTTTGGTTTCAGAGCCTCTCCACGGGAGTTACAGAACAACAGACTGAAAAGAATCCTTGGACAGAACTGCCTCTGAACCTCCTCTTTTCTACAGGGGGAAATTGAGGCTCAGAGAGGGGAAAGTCTCTGACTGACCCTCAGCCTGCATCGAGCGGCCTCTGGGGAACTCCCCATGGCCCTGGACACAGGTGGCACACAGCTGGGGGTACCGACCCCACAAAGGACCCATTTCAGGACTGCGGCCCCCAGTGCCTGCCTTCCAATCTGGTTCCAGCAGGAAGGGCAGGTGCCCGCAGACAATGCTCCATCCGCGGCAGGCGGGAGGCAGCTGTAGTGCAGGGGCTTTGCCTTAAACAGAGCTCCCTGTTTCCATTTTAGCCCTGTTGCCATGGGATGGGCCTGGCCGGGACAACAGGCTCCTTATATAGGGCAAAGCAGGAATCCCTGCCCCGCTTCTCCAAATGCTCAGGCAACGGACACAGAAGAGACAAAATAAGCAACTGCCCTTTAGAGGCAAACACATCTCTGCCATTTTGCAGTTCAGAGATTTTTGCTTGTGCAATGCCTGCACACGCATGTGCCGCAAAACAGCAAATCAGCACCAAGTGCTCTGGGCTCCATTTGAGACCGAGAGCTGCGACTACGTGCTCCTAAGCAAGTCCCTTGCCTCCCCGGGCCTCAGTTTCCCCATATGGCTATGAAACAGACAAACTAGACACCGTCTAACATCCGTCTTAGTCTTAAGGTTTGCTAAGTCTGTGAAATCCAGATGATCTGAACCATCAATATGGCTCTTTTCCATTCATTAAAGCACCAACGCATGAATGACACCACCATCAGCCAGTCTGTCTGGAAGGCCTTTTCCAAGGAACTTCACACCTCCTGGTCTTGCTCTAACAGAGGCTGCATTTCAACCCTTCCTTCACAGCTCAAATCATCAGAGGTTGGCAAGCGTTTTCCGTAAAAGGCCAGATCCTAAGTATTTGAGACTTTCAAGCCTTTAATGGCTCCAAAGTCAACTGCTCAGCTCTGAGGCTGGGGGGGTAGAAGCAGCCACAGAGGTGGGGCTGGGTTCCAATAAAACTTTATTTACAAAAACAGAGCTGAGTGGACTTGGCCCTCAGGGCCTTAGTTTGCTGACCCCTGGAACCGGAACCATCATCTTCACCACTGCCCCCTCAAGGCGGCCCTTTGACACCGTGCAGCCCCTCTCCTCGGGCCTCTGGGCCTTCGGGGCGGCCCATCTCTGCCCTCCACCATCAGCTCCTATGGGCAGCAGGAGCCTTGGCTTCCCCGTCTCCCCGCTGTGAGCCTGCTGTCTTCACCAAGTTCCACTCGTCTCTGCTTAGGTACCATTTCTAATCTGCAGCGGACCCGTCAACCCAATCTCCAAGCTGAAGGCTGTATCTAAAATCAGAACGAGGGGTGCCTGGGTGGCTCAGTTGGTTAAGCGACTGCCTTCGGCTCAGGTCATGATCCTGGAGTCCCGGGATCGAGTCCCGCATCGGGCTCCCTGCTCGGCAGGGAGTCTGCTTCGTCCTCTGACCCTATCCCCTTCTCATGTGTTCTCTCTCTCTCATTCTCTCTCTCTCAAATCAATAAATAAAATCTTTAAAAAAAAAAATAAAAAATAAAATCAGAACGAGGGGCGCCTGGGTGGCTCAGTCAGTTAAGCATCTGCCCTCGGCTCAGGTCGTGGTCCCGGGGTCCTACTCAGCGGGGAGCCTTCTTCTCCCTCTCCTGCTGCTCCCCCTCCCCGCCCCATGCTCGTGCTCTCTCTCTAATAAATAAATAAAATCCTTAAAAATGATAATAATAAGGCCTGAACAAGTGGGTTCTGAAGGAGAATCGTTTGGGGAGCCTGGCCTCTGTCTTAACAGTTTTGGCTTCCACAGGCTCTGCACGAGATTCCCGAGGGCAGAGGCTGCTGGATGAGATGTGTCTGAGGCATGAGTAAACCAGGGTGTGACCGGTTCTCCCCACAAATGTGTGGCACGGACGCCAAATGAGGCAGTGCAAGAGCATTCTCTTAAACAGGGGTCCACTTAGACTATTATTAATAGCACACTGGGATTTTTGGAAGACAGAGGATGCTCTGATGAACCAAACTTCCTTCTGTCTTTCCCCTGGGAGCTGTGATATAACCACTTCGCCCTTCTCACAGGAAAACGGCTCCTATGAGTCAGGGCCCCCCCTGGCAGGCAGAAACCACTCCCTTGCCGAAGAAGAGCTGCCCAGTTCTCAGGAAGGCACAGGGAAAAGAGCAGGCGGCAACAGCTCTTGCCACAGGATGCTTGCGAGGGAGTCACCAGACCCGCAACCCGGCGGCATGGAGGGCACACCCAGCACCAAACTCAGTAACCTGGCTCCACGGTGCCCTGGACTGGATTCAGTAGATGAGGATGTCTGGTCCCAAGGCTGTGGCCACTGTCACTGCACATCTCTGAAGGTGTTTGAGGAAAAGACACACCAACTTCTTTCGTGGGGCCCCAAGGGCAGATCCCAGATACCAATGGGTGGAAGTTACATTTTTTCCCATACAAGGAAGAATGCTGTAATGAAGGCGGTGACTTCCTCTGTGCTGGGATTCATACAGAGGCACAGGGGACTCCGACACCCAAGAATGCAGATGGCTTTAATGAATCCATGCCTATGTGTCCAGCCTGCGTTCTCTTCTTCAGACTTCACCACAATCCTCAAGGTGGAAACCACTATCATCCCACTTTGCAGCTGGGGACACTCAAGGCTCAGAAGGTTGTAACAGAGAGGCAGAAGCAATGCAGCCAGCCAGGAGGAGAGCCCAGCTTCCTAGTGCCAGGGTCTCCATAAAATCATATTCCTGAAATGACACTTAGAATCCAAGTACCATCCCCAAAGTGGAAAGAATTCGTTTCAGGAGAGTGTCTTGCCCTTTGATCCCTCCCACCTCTGGGGAGCTGCTGTGACGAGTCAGGGAGTCCACACATCTTTTTGTTTTTTGTTTTTAAAGATTTTATTTATTTATTTGAGAGAGAGAGAGACTGAGAGAGAGAGCACATGAGGGGGGGAGGGTCGGGAGGGTCAGAGGGAGAAGCAGACTCCCTGCCAAGCAGGGAGCCCAATGCGGGACTCGATCCCGGGGGAGTCCACACATCTTAAAGAGGCCCCAAGGAGGAAGACTTCTGCCTCCCCTCTTCCCTGAAGGATTCGGAAGTCTCCCTCAGGAGACCTGGAAGAGCCCTGCTGGCTCCCCAAAGGACTCTCCATGCAGGGCCTACTTGCTGCGTGCCCGTTTTACGACCTCCTGCCCTGCCCCTCCCCACCCCTTTTTCCAAACACCCTGAATGGTCCCACCTCCGCACCTCTGTACATGGCGTCCCACCTTCCACCACTCCGCCCTGTTCCCACCTCCCCCACTAGGCCACTTTGTTCCCTGCGCCACGTCTCCAGGGCACTGCCCTTCCACGTTTGGCCTGGGAATGCCCTCTGCTCTGCTTATAGCCCTCTATGGCTTTAGCATCACTTCCCCATGGGAATTATGGGGTGTGTCCTAGGGTCCCCTGCACACTTTCTGCAGCATCATCTAGAATGCAGCCCTGGGGTTGCACCTGCACCTGCACCTGCAGGTGCTCCTTCATCCACCTTTGTTGAATGAAACCCTTATAGATGTCTCCTTTTACGTTTACACAGAAAAACCACGAGCGCTGGGACCTAGGCCCTCAGGACCACCATCTGGAGAAGCCTGTGGAAAGGGCAAGGGAGCCACTTGCCGCCAGTCCCGTCAGAGCAGCTCAGCTTGTCTCCTCCACTCAGCGAGCCTGTAGGTAAGGTCCTGTCTGCAGAGGGGAGAAAAGGAACCCTCGGGCAGACAACTGCTCTGACACTCTCATCGCCCCCCATTCGGCAAATGGGCTCCTGCTATAGAAGACAATCCTCTCCGGGCAACGAAATCACAGGATCACAGCGCCAAGGGAGGCTCTGCCCCAATCCGGAGCAAGCACGCTCGGGAGCTCCTTGCACACCTCCAGAGATGAGGAGCTCACACACAAGCAGAGGCTCATCTCTAGAAACTCTTAAAGCAGGAGCTCTGGGCACCTGGCAAGGTCTTCCGACAGCCCCGAGAGTTGGAGGTGGGACAGCTCAGAGAGGAGAGCCTAGGAGAAACCTAAGAGAATCAAAGGATATTCTTAAGAAGAGATTCAGTATTTCCAAGGTTGGGTTCACTAACCAGCTGCTGCAGAATCTCCTGGGGAAACTGGTAAAAACGCAATTTCCTGGGCCCTACCCAAAGGCCCTGAATCCATCTCTGGGGCAACCCAGGAAGGTACATTTTAAACAAGCCCCTGAGTGATGAAGCAACCACTACTGTCCACTGTCTGGAATCCTCCCCCAGCCTAGGAATCTACACATTTCACACATTCCCCCTTGACTGCCAGGTCCCATTTCACAGTGGGGTTGCTGAGTCCCACTGCCAACAGAAGGGAACGTACCCAGACTGAATGACGGGAAAGCATATCATCAATGAGCGTTGTCAATTATTTCTTTGTGTATTTCATCTGGTCCAAGAACAAGGGCACTTATACACTCTCAGATGCCTCACCCTAGTATCAGAATCACTTCTGATGGTGCTCCTTTTATTATAATTGTTTAAGCCTCAAAGGTCGCCAGGAAGTGCAGGCTGCAGACTAGCTCACTCTGGATTCGGCTGGTTTGGGGCTACCGCAGCGCGGACCAGGGGTGCGGCAGCTGTGTGCTGTAGGAGAGCCAGTGAGAGCACAGGCATACTCCAGAGGGGTTAGCGAGCCCCATGTCTGGGGGCTGAGGCTGGAGGGTGGTAGCTTCCATCTAGGAGGGGAGAATCTGCTCAGAGCTGTCCAGGGCTGCATTCTAGATGATGCTGCAGAAAGCCAAGGCTCAGAGCAGTTAGGTAACTTGCCCGAGGTCACCCAGCTAGGGAGTGCTAGAACCGGGAGGTAAACCCAGGCGGTTTGACTGGGGATCAGCAGCTGATCCCTAGGTTTAGACTGCTTTCCCTTCCTTACTACCTATGAGGTCCTGGAAAAGTGTCATCAAGCCCTGAAACAGACCAGAGCAGGCCAATTTCACCTCCATGGGTGTTAACGAGGGAGTGGGTTAGTGAGCTATTTCCTGGGCAAGAAAGGAATGAGAGGAGCTGCTTCTTTCTTTCTGCATCACCTTACAGTTTACAGTGAGAAGCACCGTAACGCAGGGATTCAGCACAGTGCTGCCAGAACCAGGCTGCCGGGGTTTGAAGCCTGCTGTCTGAGCTGAGCCTAAGTGTTGTTTTCTTTAAAATGAGGATTAACAATAGCAACTACCTCACAGGGTTGTTTTGAGAATGAAACGCGGAGAAAGCAAAGCTCCTAGAAGAGTGCCTAGAACATAAAAAGTGTCACTTAACACTTGCTGTTATAATTCTAAGTAAGATGGAATGATTTCACATTTATCACGTCATCTGATCCTCATAACAATCCTGCTTGGTTCACAGGACTGGACTGTTCGTCTCATCTGCAGATGAGAAGAGTGAACATCAACAGGGAAAGTGACTTCCACGAGGACACACAGCCACACGGAGTATAGGTCTCCGAATTCTCCAATCAATTCCCAGGCAGGTCCACATTTACATTTGTTTCTCCTTTGAGCCCTGATGTTGCCCTCATTTGTTCTGTTAATTCAAGTCTAAAATGAGAGCGCTTAAAAAAAAAAAAAAAAAAAAAAAGTACAGCAATGGCTCCTACGACGAACACCACTTCAACACCTTTGCCCGTGGCAGACACTGCTAATCAATCACAGACTTCCTTCCTGCTGAGCCAGAGCAAAGCTTCAGACTCGCCAACACAGCACTCTTGACAGTCATTACCAATTGATCACAGATGGTAGATAATCAAACCCAACCCTTCCATTGTATAGACAGAATCTTCTATCCAAACTTGCGTTATTTCCAGACCTAGTTATGATTGGGAGACAGGGGTGCCCACAGCCATCACATGACTACATGTCAACCTCCCTGCAGATCCTCGTCATAGATTATAGTGTCCCCGTGGGTAGAATGGGGTCACAGCAGCATCCATCTTTCCCCACATCCAAGAAACTACTCAACACGGACGTCTTGCTTAGAGTTGACCCCACAGCCTTGCCTTTGTGACTGGCAGTCATGCCAACTTGTGGGGGAAGCAGATGCTCTTAGCATTCCACATCGGCGGGTCTCAGTGTGGCAAAGGGCACCAGGGAAAGGTGTGGTAGATAATTAGTTACTATCACATTTAAAAATCCCAATCTGGAGGACGATTTGGTTTTTAATATAAAGAGGAGCCTTTCAGGGCGCCTGGGTGGCTCAGTTGGTTACGCGACTGCCTTCAGCTCAGGTCATGATCCTGGAGTCCTGGGATCGAGTCCCGCATCGGGCTCCCTGCTCGGCAGGGAGCCTGCTTCTGCCTCTGACCCTCCCCCCTCTCATGTATATTCTCTCTGTCTCAAATAAATAAATAAAATCTTTAAAAAAAAAAAAAAAGAGGAGCCTTTCATTGGGCACAAGGAGTTTTCATCCCTCTACCATCTCTCTGGAGAACAATACCTTCCCACTCTAGGTCTCATAGTCAGTAATGCTGAACCCACATCCACAGTCTTGCTCCACAAACGCCATGCCTTAGTCCTGGGCAATCCAAGGCCCTTGTTTCTCAGCCACCATAATCGGCTCAGAGCTAAACATGTGCCCCTAGTCCAGACAACCAGGGTCAGTACCACAAGGAGCTGACACTACTGGAAAAGAAATGCTCTTCTCCTATGGTGGTTGCTCAGCTGATCCATGAGAAGCCTTGGAACCATTCTTCCCACGGAGAAGAACCTATATGAAAGCGGTACACCCCACAAAAAAAAAGTAGAGTTGAGAGATGGAGTTCCTAGATCCAGCTGAATCTGAACCCCACATTTTCACTTACGGGACCAAATAAATTCCTTCATTAGAGGGTGACTTTATGAGTCAGCGGTCTGTCACCTATAACCAAAACAATCCTGATAGTTAAATACTCAGTATGGGGAGCATGCATGGGGAGCAAGCCTGGGCTCTCCAACATGCATGTTGGACAGGATGTAAAAAGTCTGAGAATCACTGAGCTTAACCTTATGGCTTCCTTCTGATTTTTGCTCTACTCTAGGCACCTAATAAAACTGTTAAGGCTTGAGCCAAGGGGGTTAAGGCTGTGTTTCTGAGGACTGGCAGAGGATTCTGCTTCTAAAGGCAGGGAGATAATACTCTTATTCATTCATTTGTTCATTCGTGCCTTTATATTCATTTTGCTGACATTCACTGCTGTTTGATGGTCTCCATTCCAACCCTCTGAATTCTCCTTCACCTTTTCTACTACCTACCTAAGACCTTCCTCCCCGACTGCCTCCATGTCCAGTTCCTGCAGTCCACAGCAGGCAAGCAGCTGTGGTTGAACATAAGGCCACCCCTGTGACAGGGTGTCTGCGAAGCATCTGCACGGATACCTGCCTCTGTCTGCATCTTGGCTCCTGCCCCTGGGGCATCTTCCCATTAAGGATGGGTGTCACAGGGGCACGTGGGTGGCTCAGTCGGTTAACTGTCTGCCTCCAGCTCAGGTTGTGATCCCGAAGTCCTGGGATCAAGCCCTGAGTCGGGCTCCCTGCTCAGCGGGGAGCCTGCTTCTCCCTCTCCCTCTGCCCCTCATCCCCACTTGTGTTCTCTCTCTAATAAATAAATAAAATCTTTTTTTTTAAAGATTTTATTTATTTATTTGAGACAGAGAGAATGAGAGAGACAGAGAGCACATGAGAGGGGGGAGGGTCAGAGGGAGAAGCAGGCTCCCTGCCGAGCAGGGAGCCCGATGCGGGACTTGATCCAGGGACTCCAGGATCATGACCTGAGCCGAAGGCAGTCGCTTAACCAACTGAGCCACCCAGGCGCCCATAAATAAATAAAATCTTTAAAAAAAAAAAAAAAAGGAATGGGGGTCAGGTTCAGCCCTCCCTCAGCTCGCCTTCACTCTGAGCCAAGCCTGGCCCAGACTCTTGGCAGCTAACCTCATAGATGCGGGCAGAGGGTTAGCGAATGATTCTGCTCTCTGGCCCTCATTTAGTGCCCGCCTGGGTTGGGGTGGCCCCAGCTCCTGAGAGTCACAACACTAACCTCCACAGACACACCTGGACTACCCACATGGCACCACCAGGAAACCAAAAAGTCTTTGCCCTGTGTACAGAACAGAGGGGCTGGGATCTCAGGAAAGGCAGAGTAGAGGGCAAGACCAGGAGCCCAGGAGCCCAGCAGCCTCTCTACAAATACCCAGCATTACAAGATATCAGGGGGAGAAAAGAATTTTTCTTAATGAGTCGTTTGAACTGTGACGTTTCACTGTTGGCTTGTAAACTAAAAAGGAAGGGGCCCCCACTTACCGTGTGAATACTAAGTGTCAGTCACTGACATCTGAGACAGCAGAAATGACTATCTCCAGCCCCTTTAGAGAAGAAGAAACCAAGGTTCAGAGAGGCCTAAGATCACGGGGCCAACAAGTGATCAAAGTCAAGATTTGAACCTGGGTCTGTCTGGCTGCAACGTCCATGACACCAGCCTCTGACTTGTTTCTGTCCTACCATTAGAACTAAAAGGGCCCTTAGGGGCGCCTGGGTGGCTCTGTCGGTTAAGCGGCTGCCTTCGGCTCAGGTCATGATCCCAGGGTCCTGGGATCGAGCCCTACATCGGGCTCCCTGCTCAGTGGGAAGCCTGCTTCTCCCTCTCCCTCTGCCTGTCGCTCCGCCTACTTGTGCTATCCCTCTGGCAAATAAATACAAATCTTAAAAAAAAAAAAAGAACTAAAAGGGCCCTTAGATGAGGGGATCTGGTCCAATCCTTTATTGTACAGATGGGAGACTGAGGCCTCAGAGGAAGAGGCCCACGTGGGGCCCAGGCTTCCTGTTGCCCTGGGCGAGGCTTCTCTCCAGACCTCCGGACCCTGGATATCAGTATGGAGAACTCCCTGTTGCCCTGAGAGTATGTAATATAAATACCTCCCTTTTTCCTGAACAGTTACTTCAATGCTAACCTGCGCCATGCGTCTGGGGATACAGCAGTGATAAAAAGATGGGGTCCCTGCCATCTAGTCAGATGGGGGAGCACCCAGACCCGGGCCCAGGCGATGAGAACACAAGGAGAGGGAACTGAGAGAAGCTCAGCTTGCTGGAGTGAGGGTCCGGGGAGACCAGGAGGGATGAGAGGGAAGTCCTCAGGGCCAGACCCTGACCAGACTTCTGACCACTGTGTTAAGGTTGGCCTTTGCCCTGAGATCATAGGGCTCCACAGAGGGTGATTTCTGAAGGACAGTGACAAGATGGATTTGTGTTCGGCTGCCACATGGAGATAGGGACAAAATGGCAGCAGGAGGCCCAATGAGGGGCTGTCTCATTGGCCAATGTGACATAGTGGCCTCTGGGCAGAAGGAAGGAAAATGAAGAAGAGCAAATGGATTGGACCTACTGTGATCTATGTTCTGGTGAACAGACTCGGTGAGAGCTGGGCTGTGGGGAGTAAGGAAGAAGGGAAAGTTGAGGAGGGTTCCCTGGTTCAGGGCTAGGGGTAAGGAGTGAAATGTAAAAGGAGCTCCACTTTGGACATGCTGAGTTTTGGGTACCGAAAAGCAGGGGGGCAGTGCAGGCAGGCAAGTCAGGGAGTCTCTCACGCCCACCTTGCCCAGGTAGGCCGGCACCTGAGTGTGCGTGTGCATGGGTGTGCACGGCGGCAGGCAGGAATATGACGGCTACCATACTCCTGTTTGTATAACGCTACAAAGCAGATCCACACACTCTCTTATCTGGTCCTTAGAGCATCCTGGCGAGTTCCCCCCATTTCACAGATGAGGAGCCTATGACCCAAAAAGGTTGTTTGAGTTCCCCTAGGACATGACTCCAGCCCATGCTTTCTGTCTCTCAGGCCCCAGGCAGTCATTGTTAGGTCACTGATCCTCTTTACCCTGACATGCTGCTCTCTTTATGAAAAACTCTGCACGTGGGCACCTGGGTGGCTCAGTTGGTTAAGCGACTGCCTTCGGCTCAGGTCGTGATCCTGGAGTCCCGGGATCGAGCCCCGCATCGGGCTCCCTGCTTGGCAGGGAGTCTGCTTCTCCCTCTGGCCCTCCTCCCTCTCATGCTCTCTGTCTCTCATTCTCTCTCTCTCAAATAAATAAATAAAATCTTTAAAAAAAAAAAAAAAAACTCTGCACGGCCTTAACTGAGTTTCCAACAGGGTAAGATGGGGGCAGATGTGCTGATCCGTCAAGACAAGTTCCCCAATCGTATTGGTGGCTGTGCATCTCGGTGGAAATTAACTCATTGGCCTCTGAGGTGGTGGGTGTTGGCAGGAAGGGAAAAGACGTGTCCTAAGGATGAGGAAGGCCTGAGTAGGCCAATGGTCTCTCTCTCATTCCAGTGTCACACTCACACTGGGACCCAGGAGTTCTAGTACCCGTTCTGTGACCTTTGCCCTTAGCACCCTGACTTTTTGTCAACCCTGCAAGCTCAGAACCATTGGCTGAGACAGCCCCACCAGCTGCCTTCACACAAGCCCTTTCTTCCCTTCTGTTCTGCCCTGCTCCCCACCTCTATCCCAGCCGGCATTTGGCAGCCCCCCAGAGGCCTGCTGGGAGTCAGGAGGGAATGTTGAGCATCTGGCCAGAGCCCAGGCCAGCCTTGTGGGTTCACATTAGGGCACCTGCTAATGTGCAGGACCCTGAGGCCAGCCGCCCTGTGACTGGCTGGGAAAGCCAGGCATCAGGCCATCCCAGCACCCAGGACCGCATGACCCCAAATCCCAGCTATAAATAGATGAGAACCTGTCAGCCCCCCTGCCCATACCCAGCCTCCCCTCTCTCTTGGCCAAGAATGAAAAGGGCGCCTTGAAATGATGCCGAGGCCCAGATACCCAGCTCAGCTGCTCCGGACCCAAACCTGCTATTGACCTCAGGGAAAATACTCCAGCCTCTGGAAATCCAGGGATCTGTCGAGCCCAAGCCCCACTCAGCCCACATTCTACTTCTTTCCCCAGTAACTATCCTGGTGTACTTACTGTTTCCAGCCCCCAGATTTCTGAGTCATTTGGATCACACTTTAATATGCTGCCACCAACAAGGCATTCATTAGGAACCCACTGCTTGGGGAGAGGGGTGTGTGTGTGTGTGTGTGTGTGTGTGTGTGTGTGTGTGTGTGTGTGTGTGTGTGTGATGCAGAAACTTTTTTTTTTAGAGCTTCTTAACAGCTTGAAGGATATTAGACAAACACACGCTCCATACCTTACAC